GAAGGACTCGTTATGTGGCAGCTTCTCATATTTTACCTTTTAACCTTTGCACATTATGTATTCATAATTATGACTATCCAGAATTGTCTCTCTCATGAACCATGCTGTGGTTTGACAATGATGGCTCAGCAGTTGGATTGTGTGGGTGTTGGTTGCTGATTGCCAGCCAATAATTAGATAATATAGCCAGCCTAACCAGCTTACAGTATCTCATCCTGTGTTTTTAGAATCTGCTGTTTGTCTTATTTACACACTCTGTAGCCACAACTGAAACTCAAGCCATGTCTTCCCAAAGCCTGTGGACAGCAGATCCAGCCCATCAGCAAAAAGAGGCCTCCCCCCCACACAGCCAAAGCTGTACTTAGTGTGTCTATTTTGGAAGTTCATATTTTTAAATTGGTTACTTCGTGTTGATGATACATATTCATAAGTGGAAGGTAGTAAGAACTAAATAGAGAACACTCTTCTGTAGAGAACAAGAAAAGGCAGTTTCTTTAAAGAGAAGCAGGGCTGGTGTTGTATCATGCTAGAAGGAATGTGTAAATATTTTATTGCCGAATACCCATTAGATTTATTTGGACTATGTATTGCTGGAGGAAACGGGGCATTAGCATAATGGGTACGTGTGTGTTTGCGATATTTGATATTGTTGCCATTAATTTTTTTTTGCCATCATTCTTGTTCTGAATTTTCTGTTTCTTCTGTAATGTGATGGCATCTGTCCATTTTGCATCATCCACATCTATAGTTACTGCCCACTCCTTTATATGTACAGTGGTACCTTGGTACTCAAACGGCTTGCTCCCGAACAAATTGGCTCCCAGACGCTGCAAACCCGGAAGTGTATGTTCCGGTTTGCAAACATTTTTTGGAAGCCGAATGTCCGACGTGGCTTCTGCGGCTTCCGATTGAGTGCAGGATACTCCTGCAGCCAATCGGAAGCTGCGCCTTGGTTTTCAAATGGTTTCAGGAGTCGAATGGACTCCTGGAATGGATTAAGTTTGATAATCAAGGTACCGCTGTATAATGAAAATCTTCAACAATATCTTAACTTGCATTTGTAGGTATTACTGCATGCCGGCATAAATTCACTATAAAGAAATTCCAGCAGATCTTTGTTTTTCCCTGTGCAAAAGATGTGCCTGTAGCAGTTTTCAACATTTGCTATTCTAGGAATCACATCTAACCCCAGCCTGTTACCTGGGGCCCACCTTATTTTGTTTTTGCTGCCCACATCCACCTCTCTCATATCCTGGTTATAGTGTAAGGTCTAAGATATGGTATTGCAAGTTGCAAGTTCCCAAGTTGAATCATGCCACTGCCTTTAACTTAGTGATTTTTGATTTTTTTTTTTTTTGGGAGAATGCAATTTTGGGCTGTCAGAATTTTTTTTTTGCTGAAGTACAGGCATATGAATTCAATTTTAGTATACCGGTTTTAGTCTGGCAGGATTTGTTGTCCTAAAACCATGTGTATTATAAATAATTCCATTGCCCTTGACGTTCTTTCTTCCCCCCATTTTTAATTTTCTGTAGTTTGGCCTCTTCTGTAGTTTGGCTAATGCTTAGAAAGCATGTGCAATAGGGGATCAGGACTGTATTGGTTCGTCTCTATGGCAGGGCTCCCACCTCCCTGCCTGACATTCATGCAATTTCACATTTGCTAATCCCTTGAGACGACATCAGTTTGCCACGAGTCCTCAAATAGTAGCGCCAGTGTTCATGAGACTTGCCAAGGTTGACTGAATTCATCAGTACCTGCTGGTGTGCATTAATTCGGCGTATCTACACATTTTTTAAAAATAAACTCCCTTGTTCATAAAATCCTTTTCCATTCCATTTTTGTCAGTGTTGCTAAAGTTCTTAATATAGCTTTTCTTCTTACAAACAGAAGGAAAGTAAGGATTCAGTAACTTGTTTTTTGCAGTTATTATGCAAGTCTTTAACGTAACATTGGCATTGATTATAAATACAGGATTTAAGGGATACCAGATTTCTGAAGGCATTCCTGCATTTAGGGGAGGGGGTAAATCTAAAAGAGAGCAAGTCTGCATTTAGTGGAGAGGGTAAATCTTAAAGGGAGCTTAAATACAATAATAGTAGAAAATATAACATTGACATATGAAGAAGGCCCCAGCAATGGCAACACAGATTTGGAGTTTACAGAACTACATTTCCTTTCTAAATGAAAACCCCCCCGAATAGACTTATCTCAGGGTTCTATAGATTAGAAAAGAGATTTATTGATCTATCTTGTTCTCCATTTCGTATTTTACAATGTACTATTCCCCCTTCCCTTAATTGCTGCATTTCATCCAAGCCTTGGCACCTGTTACAGGTGAAGCTATGAGCATGTAAAAATGTTTATGAATTATTATGTATGTTTATGTATGTTAGGAGCAGGTTGTCTTCAGTGCTGTGAATGTGCTTTCAGGCCAGACGCTGGAGGCAACTTTGCAGCTTTGCTCAGCACTGGGCTGGGAGAGGTAGTCAGGTTGCTGCCATGTCCTGTACATCTTCACATCCACAGGCCAGGAAAAGCATCTGCTCTCCTGGTCAGCTTTGTGATAGAATGGAAAGCAAGGGAAATACGCCGAAGTGAAGATTGTAGCTTTGGAATGAGGGGAATTACAGTGGTTGTTGTTGTTTAGTCGTTTAGTCGTGTTCGACTCTTCGTGACCCCATGGATCAGAGCACGCCAGGCACTTACATTACAGTGATACCTCAGGTTAAGTACTTAATGCGTTCCGGAGGTCTGTACTTAACCTGAAACTGTTCTAAACCTGAAGCACCATTTTAGCTAATGGGGCCTCCTGCCGCTGCCGCTCCACCGGAACACGATTTCTGTTCTCATCCTGAAGCAAAGTACTTAACCCGAGGTAATATTTCTGGGTTAGCGGATTCTGTAACCTGAAGCGTATGTAACCTGAAGCGTATGTAACCTGAGGTACCACTGTAATGTTTCAGATTCCCAATTAACAGTAATGTTTTCCATGTACATTTGGGCAGTGCTCTCTCATATGTAGAGTGAATGCACACATCTCACCACACATGATTGTATGAGGCTAAAACAGCTCTTTGAGACATTGGATGGAAGGGAGGAAAGAAGGAAGGGGCGGTATACAAATGCAACAATTTAAATATGTTTGGGGGGCAATAGGGAGGAATAGTTCATCTCTCTGCATAGTCATAATTAGTGGCGGTTGCATCAACTTTACTTGGCTAAATATTTGCCATGGTAGAACCAATTCCTGGCCACCATCACTGAGCAGCAACTGAGGGAACGGTGGACACCACATCCTTACTTGAGCAGAGCCAAGGAAAGGAGCAGCTATCACAGGATTAAGCAACTATGTGCTTCCTGATTGGCCATCGCTGCCTAATGTAGGTGCAGACCAATGATGTCAGTGGCCCTTGGGAGATGCTATTGGCTAGTCAGCCAGGCTGGCCAGCACTAACCCAGCTGCCTCTGCTACCTTCTCCTTAGCATAATGCTAAGGAAGGTGCCTTTTCCCAAAGTTGCTACTCAGTAAAAGGTAAAGGTAAAGGTACCCCTGCCCGTACGGGCCAGTCTTGACAGACTCTAGGGTTGTGCGCTCATCTCACTCTAGAGGCCGGGAGCCAGCGCTGTCCGCAGACACTTCCGGGTCACGTGGCCAGCGTGACAAGCTGCATCTGGCGAGCCAGCGCAGCACACGGAACGCCGTTTACCTTCCCGCTATAAAGCGGTCCCTATTTATCTACTTGCACCCGGGGGTGCTTTCGAACTGCTAGGTTGGCAGGCGCTGGGACTGAGCAACGGGAGCGCACCCCGCCGCGGGGATTCGAACCGCTGACCTTTCGATCGGCAAGTCCTAGGCGCTGAGGCTTTTACCCACAGCGCCACCCGCATCCCTCAGTAGCAGTGACTAAATTCTGCCCCCATATCACCAGCTGCTGAGAAAAAGTAAACTTGAACCAAACACCACAGAGAAAATATTTTTGTTCTAGGTCTGGAGACTCTCAAAAGATAAAGGTCCATTAATTATCATTTGAAACCAGAGCTAGACAAAAGTTATAGGGAAAGTGTTCTGTGAAAGTAACAATTTTACATTGTCTAAGAGGTTGACTGACTACCCTAATGGGTCTTTTTAATCTCTGCTTTCACTGATTGTAGACAGGATAAAATTAGCTTTGTGCTGTAATCTTTCAGCCTTGCCCTGCTGCCAAAGGGTAAGCAGGGTCTTCAGCCAATTAGGCTATCAGTTCTCAATTTACTGCCCTGTTACAATCTCAGGAGAACAGAGAAGTGAACCTAGTAAAACACAGTTTCACTAAAGTTTCAGTGATCATTAAGTTTTATCACTTTGTTTTACCAGAAATGTGCAACTTAATTTTAAACTCAAATTTATAGCAAAATAAAGCCTGCAAATAGGATGCTCTGAGAGTAATGTGTGTGTCTGCGGAAAATATTGAAGTTCGGCAACTGACTGGGTTTGAGCTCACTACATAAAACAAAAAAGAAATCTTCAGTGGTGCTTTAATTCATCGAGATAATAAGAGCAGAGTGTCTCCATGGATGAAAACAGGCCATTCTTTATATAGAAGAATTGAAGTACAGGTTTCCCATGGTTATCTCCTTTGCCTCTCTCCACGGCTCAAGATAAAGAAGCAAATGCACAGCAAAGCCGAAAGGGCAACCTCCAAGAAAGCCACGTCCTCTTCTGCAGCCTCCCCACTTGTTTCCTGCCTCAGCCAAAGGAGAAGCTGTTCTCCTGACTTTAATTATAATTTAGTTCTTTTCATATATTGTCACATTAGAGCAGATCAGTCATGCTTGGCTCATGTGCTGAGAACACACAGAACACTTGGAAGAGTTGACTCAGTGGTGAAGTACATATTTCTTGTGCAGAAGTTTAACTCCCAGCATCTCCAGTTAAAAGGTCATAGATTCATAAAATTGTAGAGTTCAAAGAGACCCTGAGGACCATCTAGTCCAGCCTCCTGAAATGCAGGAATATGTGGCGGCCCCATACAGGGTTCAAACCTGCATCCTTGGCATTATCAACACCACGTTCTAACCAACCAGTAAGTGATGGACTAGACTTCTTGCCTGGAGAGCTGCTACCAGGCAGAATTGACCATACTGAGTTAGATTGTCTGTCTCGATATAAGGCAGCTTTGTATGACCACGTCAGGAAATAGTTTGAGGCTGTTTGTAATGGTCTGATACTGGCAGTCGTGGCCAGTGAAGTCTGATGTTGAGTGGGAGGCCACAAAGAAACCACGGTCAGGTTACAATCCTCTTTCTAATTTCCTAGGAGTGAGTCCAATTGATTTCAGTTCGTTGGATAGCACTGTCACACCATTATTGAGGTTTTTCAAAGCAGTAGGCGCCTTTGCCTCAGGTAAGCTAAATGACCCTGATGCATGTAGCAAGCAATTTATAATTTTCACAGAATCTGTCCAACCCTGTGTCTGAGGTCAGTGATCAGTCTTCCACAAAATCTCAGGACTCTTCTACTTCCATCTCAATTCTAAATAAACTTCCTCAGAAATATGTTGTATTTGAACACATGCCGTGCATAAGATTTTGGCGAAATTGGAAATGGCTTCTTTAGGAAATCCTTGGGAACAAGACTTTGAAAAGTTTCGATACTGGGCAAGTAGGGCCTGCTCCAGCACCCAATAAAGGTAAAGACAGAACAGAGTTTAACTAGCAATTGAGCAGACCCATTATCTACATTTAAGAGTCTGGTTGATTTCTAGTGGCCCTATTGGCATGGCCCCTGTGCCATAATGCTGCTTATTCTCTTCTTATGGGGAATCAATAAGCATATTTTTAAAGGATATATGCCATTTTAGTTCTTCATATCTTTCATAATCAATATTTTCAAAGCAGTAGGTAGTCAAGGGTGTCAAACCTAGTGCCGGCTGTGGAGGAAGTGTTGCTTTCGACCCCCACAATCACAGCAAGACATAGCTGACAGTGGTGATGTGCATTGAGGGCCCTGATTTGGAATCAGCTCTGTATTTGTCAAGGTCTCTTTGCAAGCATTTGGGAAAAGCTCATTTGTTTCCCTAGAATTCTCTCCCAGTTTGTAATAATGGTGTAGTCTTTTTTGCTTTACCTTGACTTTTGTTGCTCCTAAAAAGCACCTCTGCTTTTCAGGTAACCCCATCAACATTCACTGTAATTTTGCTAATGGCAGCTCATACAGAGGCAAAAGCCCCCAAAGGCCAAACTATTGAGGCAGTAGTTTGGAAGAAACTGCATTGTTTCTTGAAGCCTTAACAAGATGCCTGGGGTGTGTGTGTGTGTGTGTGTGTGTGTGTGTGTAGCTCTGAGTTGTCATTGGTGTCTAGCTCTTCACTGGGAAGCAGATGAAATTTTAAGGGGAGTTGAAAACCACGTGCAGAATCTCAGTTTACATTCTGAGCCGGAGAAGAACTAACAGGAAAAATGATACATTTCTATTCCAACCCAGTTAATTAGCAGTAGTGACATCACTACTCGTATTGTGCATGTTCACGGTTGCCACCGCCACTAGCAACCAGGGAAGAGAAAGGTTAGGCGAGGGCAGAGGCATACCTAGGCTCCCTTAAGCCCTTGGCAAAGAGCTGTATCGGTGCCTCTGAAGCTGCGAGAGACCATGGACCAGAAACTTTCGCACTCTGCTAGTGACTCTCTATACGAACATTGGGGTTGGGCCTGCTCTGCTCACATCTCCCTCCTGAGTTGGTCTCTAAGGTCCATTGGACAATTTTTTACAGTGGTACCTCCGGTTATGAACGGGATCCATTCTGGAGGCCCAGCTGCATCCTGAAAACTTCGTAACCAGAGGTGCCCTTCTGCAGTGCAATTGAGTGCTTCTGCGCATGCGCGTGTGGCAAAACCTGGAAATATACACTTCCTGGGGTACTGTGTTTGCAACCCAAGGATTACGTTACCTGAAGGTAACATAACCCGAGGGTCCACTGTATTTATTTTGACCTCCCTCCTCCATTGGTCTGTCTGTCTAAGCATGTGAATGGACAGGCTGCTAGCCACTCCGAGCCAGAATGGAGAGGTGTGGTTTTTGTGCCCCCTCTGGGCCAGTGGCCTTGGTATGCCAATGGGCAAGGGTGGCATTTATTCCCAGGCCAGCTTGTAGCAGTATATAGGCAATCAGTTGCTAAGCACTTCTTTTTGAGCAAATTATATTTCATATATTTTGCCACACCTAATATGAACAGAGTGAAAACTGGCTGTTTAACCTCCCTGCATACTTTGTAGCTATTGGCTGACTTATTGTGATGTCACAGAGAGGTAAAGAATTTTATTCTTATTATGGGTCTATGAAGGTAAATGAAAGGTCAGTTTGGAGAAAACTTTCACAACCTGAGAGAAGCTGTATGCTGGGTTGGATCTGCCATGTAAGCTGGGAAACTGAAGGTCTAAATTAAGGGAGAGGGGGGACATTTTGAGACAGATGGCTGAAGAAAGGTGGAGGCAGAGTGGGAACTTTCTTTGAATCTGTGAAAAGGATAAGTAGAGGGACTGGGAACATAAGAGTTGAGAATGTTAAGAGCCGAAGAGAAATGGAAGCTGGGGGGAAAGCTTCATACAGGACACAAAAGCCCATGTGTTTTTAGGGGGGGATAGAGCAGACCTGACAGAGAGCTTTGGATTTTGGAGGATTATAGGTCAGAGAATCAAAATCAAAGAGCTAACTAATCACATCTTTGACCTGAAGTTTCTAGTTTGTTTTAATTAAGAATAGCGCAGGGCAGACTCACACATTCACCTTCTGACATGGCACCTGCTGAAGACATGGAGGCTGCTCTGTGCAGAAAGCTATTTACATAAAGCAGCTTCCCACATGGTTGCAATGGTTTTAGCTATCTCTCTTTCAGGCGCACGTGATGATGTGGTTGGAAGTGCCAAAGCCACGTGGGGAGCTGCACCGCACAAATGGCCAGCCATGCTACGAAGCTTATATACGATTTAGGCTTTAATGCTGCATGTCTAGGGAGAACATCCTTTTGCTGTTCTCAGGAATATTACATATGAAACATTCAGGTCTGGGGGGGGGGGGGAGCTGGCGAGCTTATTAGTGATGATAACATTTGCTCCAGAAAGTTCAGTCACATGCCAACTTTGGAAAAGGAAGAATGGTTGTGTTATGTCTAGTCTAGAATGTTTATATTGCGACGTGGCTTGTGAACATGTTGTATAATAAAGCTGCTGGTGTTTATCAAAAGCAAAGAAATCTGGATTTATTCTTTTGTGCTCAGCTTTTTAAGAAATATTCTTTTCATATGCTGTTGATATTTTGTGAAATCCTGCAGAGGCCAGCAGAGGGAGCTTCAGCTCCCTTCTTGATCCTTGCTCTCCTTTTTGCATGAAGAGGGACATGGCTTTTTAAATACTTGATTATTTTAAAATAGCCGCATCTTTTACTGCCCATTGTCCATTCCAGTCCCAGGCAAGGTGCAGTTTTAAGGCTTTGAAAAGGAGTCTTCCCGCCCCTTCTGCTATGGACATACACAATTAGTACATGCAAAGCTGAACAACTTGGAATGAAAACTTGCCCAATATCACCATGCCCAAAGGAAAATATACATTGAATTTGGGTCTGACAAATCCAGCTTCATCCTTTCACTCTTGTTCCCCCTGACCCCAATTAAGTTTCTTGTTTGGGACTCATTCAGTTTTAAGAGAATGGTTCAAAAATAGGGCACCAGAAAATAGTATTAGCCTGAGATAGTTTAGTTCAGGCATCCCCAAACTCAACCCTCCAGATGTTTTGGGAATACAACTCCCATTATCCCTAGCTAACAGGACCAGTGGTCGGGGATGATGGGAATTGTAGTCCCAAAACTTCTGGAGGGCCGAGTTTGGGGATGCCTGGTTTAGTTGGTAGAACATGAGACTCTTAATCTCATGGTCCTCGGTTCAAGCCCCACCCTGGGCAAAAAGATTCCTGCATTGCAGGGGGTTGAACTGGATGACCCTTGTGGTCCCTTCCAACTCTACAATTCTGTGATTCTATTGGTTTTTTTAAATGACTGTGTTACACTGAATGTTTTAGAATATCTTGATTTTCTTCTTCTTTCCATCAGTGTGTTTTCCATTTGGGAAATGATTTTGGCCCGGGGGGGGGGGGACTCACAGGGTAACAAATGTTTGTGGTTTACTTAAGTTCCAAGTGTCATTAAAGACTCTCGCTGAGAGTGAGATGTGCGGAGGCTGAGCTTTGAACTAGGTTCAGATGCCGAGAGTGCAGAGAAATCGGACTGTCGTGCTTTCAAATCAAGACTCTGTGCTGAGTATGTCATGCAACACTGAAGGTATCAGGATGTCACAAAGAATTATTGGGTCCATTGATCTGTAGATCTGGATTGTAAGTTGGTTTGTACAGTTCTGTATTCCCAAAATTTGTGGGAGCTCACAAAAATATGTATTGTTTTAGTCAAAGGAATGGGGGTTTTTCTGGTTGTTGTTTTTGCACAGATTGTTCATAAACAGCCCTAAAATATCCAGACCCTTCTGGCGTTACTAGAGAGAGGCTGTCAGTTTTCCTGAGAAAGAGAGAGGGGGCAAAATTCCTGACAACTTATGGTCCTCTGGCCGGCGGCTGTGGCTGGAAGATTTCCTTTCACTCCTATATGAAGTTGGTCTTTCTGCAAAGCTGTTGGTTGTAGGCAGAAGATCCTACAATATCTGTAGGGCAGAGGGAATATATATATATACTTTTCAAGAGCAAAAATGTCCAAGAGGGGATACACACGTTAAACACGTGGTTCATTTTCCAGATCACAGTGGGGTATTTTGCATGTTCATACGATCTCCTGCATAATAAAAATGCTGTGTGTTAAGGTATCTAGCCCTTGAGAGATTCTAGGCTAGCCCTACCTCAGATATGATGGTCTTGTTGTGCAGGAAGTTTTATACATGTGAAAACATGCAGGCATGTAATCCCCCACCTGAAATCTGAAGCCGCACAATCTGGATCCCAACAAGACAGTATCACTTAATTATCTTGAATGTATAAATTGGCTTTAAGGACTGCTCTTGTAGTCATTAGGCAACTAGCAGTTGCATGAGTTGCTATATAAACAGATGGGTAAGAGGCAAGTCAGTTGGCATGTTAGACAGAGTAGGTGTGATTGTTATGACTTCACCACTTAGGAATTGAAATTAACATAAAAATGATTTGCTGAAGAACATACAAGTTCCTAGCAGATCTAGAGAAAAGGAACCAAACAGCACATTGTTCTAACATAGTATATTAACTATAGGACCTTCTTTATTCCCTGGGGTAAAATCTATTCCTTTAGATTCTATGTACTTTTTTGTCTGCTACAGATTAAAGTTAATAAAACCAGGAGTCTTGATATTATTGAGGTACTGAATTGATTTAAAGCATTTTTACTTGATTTTTTTTCCACCCTGATTTTGGGCAGATGGGTTCTGTTCAGCTCCACAGGGTTTCCATGAGTGGCTGTTGTTCTTGTGCACATCTAGAGTGGGCCCATAGAAAGTTTACATGGGTATGAGAGTGGGTACATTAAATATGTGAAGTCTTCCGAGACTTCCGGGGTGGCGCCTCCGAAAAATGGCGGAATTCCCTTCGAACTGAAGGGAACCCGCTGCACGGAGGCTTGGGTCCTGCCGCTACGGCGCAGCGGGGACCCTTAAAAACCACAGGCGGAAGAAGCCTGTGGGCGTGGGACTCGGCGGGCACCGAGAGCGCTCTCTCCCTTGTACAGGAGCCCGGCAACGGGCTCCGGAGTGGGAGGTGCGTGGTGCTGTGAGTCGTCTGCTTCCTCCGTGCAGCAAAGCCGCACTGCCGAGTTCGGAGAGCGCTGCCTTTTTCCTGGACAATTTGGCATCTAAAACATCTATCCGTGAGTACCCGATCCTGGAAGAGCTGAACTACTTTTAAGATTGGTGAATAAATAAATAACATTGGACTTGAACTTGAAATTGAATTTAATTGGGACTCGGAACGGAAAGGTCTAAACAGGAAGTCGCCTTCCGTTCTTTTGTTACGTGAAGAAAGCAAAGACAAATTATACTAAAGCCTGGAAACTAAATTCTGAGAGAACTAAAATTCAACATCTAAGATTTTCTGAACCCCCCCTTCGATTGCAGGAGAAGAAGGGGGTTGTTTTGATCTTTTCAACCCTGCGGGAGTGAGTTTAAAATAAAGTAATTTTCCACCGCCCTGAACCAGGAGCGGGCTGTCAGAACTGACGTTTTGAAGCTTATCCAGCTCGACAGATAGTTAAAAGAAGGGTAACATTTTGATTCTACTGTTGCCTCTTGAATTTGAAAGGGGAATTTTGGATAAAGTGTTTCTGGAAAAAGAAAGATTGTTACTGTTGTTTTTCCCCTCTTAAAAAATAATAAAAAAGGGTTTTCCATCTAGTGGAACTGAGTGAAATTGCAATGCAGAGAGATTAAAAGAGCAGGATCATTCTCGTGGGAAAGAAATTTTTCTGACCTTGAAGGACAATGCTTGTACAAAGGCTTGAACAAGTGTTCCTGGAAGGTTTTGCAAAATTAAGTGCCCAGCTGGACCAGATGCGTCAGGAGTCGACCTTGATGAGGACGGAAGTTACCAGAGCACAGCAGCAAACAAATGAAATTCAGTTAAAGTCTATACAAGTATATGAACCTGCTGTAGCGACGGAGGCTTCAGAGATGGAGGGACCTATGGATGGGCAAGATCAGCCTTTGAACTTGATAAATGAACTTGGGACAAACCTGATTCGGAAAGATGAAATGTGGTCAGATTTGGAAATGGGGGATGGATTGACACCCTCTATATGGTTATTTGGACTTTCCGAGTCTAGTGATGGGCCATCAGAGGAATGGAGTAGTCGAAGTCTCCAAGTTTCGTGGAAATTGGAAGTGGTATTATCTGCTGTCTGGCTTGGGCAATGGGTTTGGGATGGACTTGCTGCAAAGAGTCAAAAGCATCTTCTTGCTGGAGTATCCACGACTGAAAGGGAAATATCAACAAGAGTGGCGAAAGGGGCAAGAAAGAGACTTGAGGGCCTCGGATATGAGACAACCAGGTTAAGGAGCCGGATTATTGAGGTTAAAAGGACTGACAATCCCGGGTCCAGGGGAGGGGAGGCTGGAAGTTGACTGGATTGAATCTGACTTATTGTTTTTGCTTTCTTATTTTCTAATATTGGGAATGTTTATAAATGTTTGAAGGATGTTGAATGAAATTATATGACTTAAGTAAGGATTGGTAAATGATTTGACAAAGGTAATGATGTAAGAATTTGCTAAATATTGAATATAAGCTTTGAGTTTTAAAGTTTTTATATGACAAGAGGGAAAATAGAATAAGGAAACGCAATGATAGATTGTTATGAAAAAACAGAAAGGATTTGCTGTAAAAATTAAATACTAAGAAACAAGAGACGGAAGGAGGAGGAAGTCTAGAAAGGAAGTTAATGGAGATCGTAAAGGATTTTATATTTCTGTTTATCTGTTTTTCTTTTTTCTTCTTTTTTGCGGCTGGGTTTTTTCTTCTTTACTATTTCTGTATTATTTTTGTTTTATTTGTATTTTCAAATTTTTTTGGAAATGTTTGTTGTTACTTGTTACTTTTTGAAAATTTAATAAATATCAATTTAAAAAAAATAAAATAAAATAAATATGTGAAGTCTTCCATGCAGAAGACTTACCTGATCTCGTTTTTTGACAGAATTACAAGCCTGGTAGATGAAGGGAACGCAGTGGATGTAGCCTACCTTGATTTCAGCAAGGCATTTGACAAGGTGCCCCATGATATTCTTGTAAAGAAGCTGGTAAAATGCGGTCTTGACTATGCTACCACTCAGTGGATTTGTAACTGGCTGACTGACCGAACCCAAAGGGTGCTCATCAATGGTTCCTCTTCATCCTGGAGAAGAGTGACTAGTGGGATGCCACAGGCTTCTGTCTTGGGCCCGGTCTTATTCAACATCTTTATCAACGACTTGGATGATGGACTCAAGGGCATCCTGATCAAATTTGCAGATGACACCCCAAACTGGGAGGGGTGGCTAACACCCCAGAGGACAGGATCACACTTCAAAATGACCTTGACAGATTAGAGAACTGGGCCAAAACAAACAAGATGAATTTTAACAGGGAGAAATGTAAAGTATTGCACTTGGGCAAAAAAATGAGAGGCACAAATACAAGATGGGTGACACCTGGCTTGAGAGCAGTACATGTGAAAAGGATCTAGGAGTCTTGGTTGGCCACAAACTTGACATGAGCCAACAGTGTGACGCGGCAGCTAAAAAAGCCAATGCAATTCTGGGCCGCATCAATAGGAGTATAGCATCTAGATCAAGGGAAGTAATAGTGCCACTGTATTCTGCTCTGGTCAGACCTCACCTGGAGTACTGTGTCTAGTTCTGGGCACCACAGTTCAAGAAGGACACTGACAAACTGGAACGTGTCCAGAGGAGGACAACCAAAATGGTCAAAGGCCTGGAAACGATGCCTTATGAGGAACGGCTAAGGGAGCTGGGCATATTTAGCCTGGAGAAGAGGAGGTTAAGGGGTGATATGCTAGCCATGTTCAAATATATAAAAGGATGTCACATAGTGGAGGGAGAAAGGTTGTTTTCTGCTGCTCCAGAGAAGCGGACACGGAGCAATGGATCCAAACTGCAAGAAAGAAGATTCCACCTAAACATTAGGAAGAACTTCCTGACAGTAAGAGCTGTTCGACAGTGGAATTTGCTGCCAAGGAGTGTGGTGGAGTCTCCTTCTTTGGAGGTCTTTAAGCAGAGGCTTGACAACCATATGTCAGGAGTACTCTGATGGTGTTTCCTGCTTGGCAGGGGGTTGGACTCGATGGCCCTTGTGGTCTCTTCCAACTCTATGATTCTATGAATCTGGGTCATCGATCTTTTTGGTATCTACCCATATTGGAATCATAGAATTGTAGAGTTGAAAGGGATCCTGAGGATCATCTAGTCCAACCCTCTGCAGTGCAGGAATATGCAGCTGTCCCATACGGGGATCGAACCTGCAACCTTGGCGTTATCAGCACCAAGCTGTAACCAACTGAGCTATCCAGGCTTATCTTCCAAAGGAAATTGGCTACACTATTGGCATAGTTACATAACGTGTGGAATGTATAATCTTTTTCCAGATTATTCACTATTTCATGCAGTGGGCTTTTTGAGACCCAACCCATTTGGTTTTTCCCAAGCAACTTCATCACCACACATTTGAGGGCCAAGAATCTTTTGTTTAGCCAGTTCCTCTTGCGCGAAGCTTCTCTGTGCACTGTTTCCATATTGTCTTTCTGTTTCCATTCCATTTGAACAGTAGCATGTTAAATATTTCTTACAGGATATCCTCAGCATATTGACTCAGAAATAAGTCCCATGACTACCTAGTCAGTGTGTCTTAGGACTTCAGCTTTAGATAACTCCATATGCAAAAGTCTCACTCCCTCTTAACAGCAAACTCAAGTGGTGAGTGCCAACTGAAATCTAGCCAAAACAGGATTGTTGGGAAGCAAGAAAGAGGGTATCCATGCGATCAGGGGGACCCCAAAGGAAAGAAATGGAAGGCATAAAGTAAGAATACTCCATATAGTCCAATGAGGACTGAACATGCTCAGTACGGAATGTTTAATATGCGATGGTGGAATAAAATGCCGTTCTTACGCCTCTGTTTGCAAGAGTGGTTTGCTGTCTCACTGGAACTCTGAACAGGAACACTCCTGTTAGCAGACAACATTTTGTTCCTGGTCCCACATACATTTATATTAAATTGAAAATGGTCTATTGATGCATGGTGACATCAATTCCTTCCCAGCTTCATTTATTGGATTGAATTGTATGCCAAAATTTTAAAAAGTGAATGTGGTTCCAATAACTTGACACAATACTGTGATGCCCACTGGAGATTAAACAAATACACATTAATGAATAATATCACACAACATAGTTGGCAACTGACATTCTAGCCTTTCTAATCTGCTAATTGCTTCTATTTTTCACGTGATAAAAACAGCCATTCTTATTAGGTTTCATTATGCAGTAATTGGAAATCCTAGGACTGTGCCTTCAATTCAGTGGCATTCTTGCATGAAAAGATACAGTGTTAAAGAACACATTAGTTTCTTACTGCCTTTATCTTTCCTCCAGAAAATCTCTTCCTTTCTGCACGGGACAAAATGTAGGACAGTCCTTAAGCCTCTGAAATACGGCTTCAGCTAAGGCCTATTTCCATGATTTATTGGTTTGGTAATGAATGTATGTGGGACGCGGGTGGCATTGTGGTGTAAACCACTGAGCTTTGGGCTTACCGATCGGAAGGTCGGCGGTTCGAATCCTCATGATGGGGTGAGCTCCCATTGTTTGGTCCCAGCTCCTGCCAACCTAACAGTTCAAAAGCACGTCAGAGTGGAAGTAGATGAATAGGTACCGCTCCGGCGGGAAGTAAACAGCATTTCCGTGTGCTGCTCGGGTTTCACCAGAAGCGGCTTAGTCATGCTGGCCACATGATCTGGAAAAACTGTCTGTGGACAAACATCGGCTCCCTCGGCCAGTAAAGCGAGATGAGCGCCGCAACCCCAGAGTCGTTCACGACTGGACTTAACTGTCAGGGGTCCTTTACCTTTTTTTAATGAATGTATGTAGCCTAAAAGGAGCAGGGGGACATGACTGACTAAAATAATTGTTTAAAAAGTTAAAAAATAATCTCAAAGCAGTTCAAAACATCGTCATTTAAAATATCAGCAGGCACCTGGTATTTTAAAAGGCAACGCCAGCAATGTACATTGAAAGAGTTGTTAAGTATATTGAGTTGGTAAGTGATGACATTTATTGCAGCTAGGCCAGAATTGTGGCTTGGAAAAAGTAAGGCTTGTCTGCCCACCCAAAAGTGAGCAGTGATGGCTCCAGAAAGGGTTCCTTCAGAAAGGAAGCAACACCAGCAAAGGTCCTGTCCCTACTCACTGCAGCACACCACCAAGTTGAATGCAGCCCCCAAAGCCATGGATGGCAGTCTAGTAGAGGCTGAAGAAACTACCTGTTTCTCCTGCCTGTCTGGAACGGCAGATGTAAGGGGGTTTTCAGACACGAAGTAATGGGTGGTTGATGGTTCTCAAGTTGTTCAGGCCTGTACTACATTGAAGCGTCTTCCATGTAGGCATTTGTGTGAATCCCATGTGTAGAACACCTGTCATTGCTGCATGTATGCCTATGAGGAAGCCACAATTGGCCGGGCTTCCCTGCAGATGTATACTTTAATTAGAATCCTCGTTCCCCAGCTACAGACTTGTGCAATCATCCCACTTGATGATCTCTTTGCGGGATTCATTCACGTTCCTATGCAGACATTCCTTTCATAAAGGAATTTAGTCTTGTGCAAAGCAGCCAGGTTCCTTGACATTTTGCGCACCAAATGGTGATGGAGCTCTGTTCCTGGTTATGAGGTTTGACATGACAGTGTAATGAGAATTCCCTCTCAAAATGTGAAGGAAGAGTTTACTATCCCATTTTAAGATGACTGCTCGCTAATAGTTTGGGTGAGCAACTGATCTTTCTTCAATGGGAATTACCGTATTTTTTGCTCTATAAGACTCACTTTTCCCCTCCTAAAAAGTAAGGGGAAATGTGTGTGCGTCTTATGGAGCGAATGCAGGCTGCACAGCTATCCCAGAAGCCAGAACAGCAAGAGGGATTGCTGTTTGCGCTGCGCAGCGATCCCTCTTGTTGTTCTGGCTTCTGAGATTCAGAATATTTTCCCCCTTTGTTTTCCTCCTCCAAAAACTAGGTGCGTCTTGTGGTCTGGTGCGTCTTATAGAGCGAAAAATACAGTAATAGGAGATTTTTCCTCAATGGATAATCTACCATTGGGTGGGATCTGAGATCATATTGTGTGTGTACACGGAAGTGAGGAGAAGCAGTTTTCAGTTTGAACATAGCAGACAGAATACTGTGATTTTTAGTAGCACTTGGTTAGAGTTTGACCATCCTTGGGGTGCAGTTTCTATTTTGGATTTGGGATCCAATATGGGAGAAAGTAAATCTGGTACACATGCCTGCTACTCCAAATTTAGACCACAAAACTAATTACAGTAGTACCTTTGGTTAAGAACATAATTCTTTCTGGAGGTCAGTTCTTAAGCTGAAACTGTTCTTAACCTGAGGTACCACTTTAGCTAATGGGGTCTCCTGCTGCCGCTGTGCCACTGCCGCACGATTTCTGTTCTTATCCTGAAATAAAGTTCTTAACCCAAGGTACTACTTGCGGGTTAGCAGAGTCTGTAACCTGAAGTGTTTGTAACCCGAAGCGTTTGTAACCTGAGGTACCACTATAGAGGAAATGTGTCATTTAGTGGGAAGATCACAGGTAATTGTTAAGTTCCCCCATTTCTGTGACCCAGGGAAACAACCAGTTTGTTTGTTTTTTTGGGTCTGGAAACATCTTAGAAGGTAATGTGGAAGATCTTTGATTTAATTTGCACCTGAAATGCACAATCATTCTTATTTGTTTAGCTGTACATGCCCCTCGATGCTCAGAGGCCATAGCCATAGTAAATAAAAAATATTCCTGCTTCTAAACTTGCTCAGTCTTCACAGTTGAGCTGCTGGAATTTGGAGTTAATTAACCTTTACCCTTAGTCTCCTTTGTCCTTTCATGTGTGTATATGTTTCAGCTCCTTTATATGCTGAATAGTATACAAGGCAGTTATATACTTATACACATGAATTTATCCATCTCTACAAGTATTAGGAGTGGGCAGTTCACCTGGTTTTGAAGATTCAAACTGACAGTGTGGTTTTGGATCTGAGCCCTACATAATCTTTCTGAATGGGTGAAGCTTACAGATCTTAGACAAATGGGTGCAGGGCTTCTTGAAATATTGAGGCTTTTTTAAAAATAGTGGGGGAGCAGGAAAATCCCTTTCTTATAGTTTTATGGGTAATGTATTAAATGTATTATACATATTCATATACATTAATATATATACACATAGAATACTGCTTAGTGCAAAATATTAAACTCTACCTGTTCAGAGCACTAAAACCCTAGTATTTCAGGGCCATGCGGGGGCTCCTTCCTTCCCTGTTTTCAGCACCAAGAAACCCCCTGAATCACCATTGCTTTACGTTAAAAGGAAACAGCACAGGCGAAAAACAACCCAGATTGTCCAGAGTGGTGTTATATACATCTACAAAGGCCTGGGCACTCCTGATTTGCAATTGTATCGTGATGCATCACGTATTTAAAAAGTTGTCCCAATATTACAAGGTAATAAAGAGAGAATTTGGATAGCAAAGGAAATTCCTGGGGAACCAATGCAATATTTGAGAGGTTTTCCTTATCTAAGCAACTCCCACCCACCCATGGATTCAGTGAACAACTCTCTTTTAAAAAAAGTTTTAACAACACTGAAAAAAAATAGTCAAAGAATCATTACCTTGTGTTGTGTTGTTGTTTAGTCATTTAGTCGTGTCCGACTCTTTGTGACCCCATGGACCAGAGCACGCCAGGCACCCCTGTCTTCAGGAGTGCCTGGCGTGCCTGCATACACATGAAAGCTCATACCAATAACAAACTTAGTTGGTCTCTAAGGTGCTACTGGAAGGAATTTTTTTTATTTTGATATTCCTGTTCTCTCCTCACTTCTGGATCAGGCTAAAGGCCCATCTAGTCCAACATCCTATTCCCACAGTGGCCAATCATATGCCTATGGAAATGCATGAGAATGTAGACTTTCATACACACACATATATATATATATATATACACACACACACACACACACACACACACACACACCTGCTAAATGGTTCCATTATGCACAAACCTTTGTAGACTAGAACCCACATTATACTGCATCATAACCATAATTATCATTAATTTGTGAAGCACTTTTCGTATATAAGTCCCAAGGGGATTTACAGACACCCTAAAAAGCAACTGAAATGATTTTTAAAACAGCACAAGAACAACTGAGTACAGGTTTGAAAACCGCACAGGAAGGAGCACCCTAAGGCAGAAATATTTTCATCTAGCTGGGTAAAACATACATACATAAATACTGAGGGAGAGAG